CAGGAGCCAGGCTGAGCTGTCAGGCAGGAATTTGGGTCCTGTCAGGGCTGACTGCAGTGAGTTCAGTGCTCTGTTCCTCAAGAGCCAGGCTGAGCTGTCAGGCAGGAATTTGGGCTGTCTGCAGTGAGTTTTGGGCAGTCTGCAGTCAGTTTTGGGCAGTCTGCAGTCAGTTTTGGGCAGTCTGCAGTGAGTTATGTGCTGACTGCAGTGAGTTTTGGGCAGTCTGCAGTGAGTTTTGGGCACTCTGCAGTCAGTTTTGGGCACTCTGCAGTCAGTTTTGTGCTGACTGCAGTCAGTTTTGGGCACTCTTCAGTCAGTTTTGGGCACTCTGCAGTCAGTTTTGGGCACTCTTCAGTCAGTTTTGGGCACTCTGCAGTCAGTTTTGGGCACTCTGCAGTCAGTTTTGGGCACTCTTCAGTCAGTTTTGGGCACTCTGCAGTCAGTTTTGTCCCCTCAGGAGCCAGGCAGAGCTGTCAGTCAGTTTTGGGCACTCTGCAGTGAGTTTTGGGCACTCTGCAGTGAGTTTTGGGCACTCTGCAGTCAGTTTTGGGCTGTCTGCAGTGAGTTTTGGGCACTCTGCAGTCAGTTTTGGTCACTCTGCAGTCAGTTTTGGGCACTCTGCAGTCAGTTTTGGCCTCACTGCACTGAGTTGTGTCCCCTCAGGAGCCGCCCTTCCCTGAAGCAGGAGGACCCGGCCGTGCTCATTGCAGAGGTGCTCAGGAGGAAGTTTGCCCTCAAGGATGAAGACCTGGCCCTGAAGGAGAAGTGATGCTGCTGCCCTCAGCTCTGCCAGCAGAGCTCTGCTCCCAAAAGCTCCTCCACAGTAGCTGCCTTCTCCTAAGGATTGAGCCTTTGCCTCTTTTATTAATCATGGTTTGTGCACGGACACTTGGTCAGGAAATTGGATTTGATGTGTTTGCCATGTGTTGTTCTATTTAAGAAAATCCTTTTTAAGAAGATGGAAGCTCTTTCCCAGCTGTGTTTTGGTGTTGGTGAGGATCTCCTGGAGTGCTGCTGGATGAAGTTCTGTGCTCCTGCACTTTTCCTTGGGTTCCAGTTCAGCCCTGAGCTGCAAGGACAGAACCAGTTCCCCTGCCCAGTTGGAACAGGACAAAGCCCAGTTTTTATCCTGAGTGTGGCACAGAGCTGAGAACCAGCTCCTGGGTGCTCCCAGCCTTCCAGGGCTGTTGGATCATGGTGGGAAAAGGGATTTTAATTCCCCAAATCCCCCCTGGCTCGGGTTTGAGGGATTTCCTGTGCCCTGGGTGTTCCTTCTCTCACAGATCAGCCACAGTTGCATGACAGAATGGCCTTAATTTCCTGCCAGTAATTTAATGTCCCATTAAAGTCCCTGTGCCCCCAGCCTGTGTTTTATTTCACCTCTCAGGGTCTGTTTATTGACCTGGCACCCCAAGCAGAGCAGGGCAGGAGCTTGGCCTGGCTGTGGCTGCAGCTCCCCCTCACCCAGAGCTCTCCCCCAGCTCCACCTTCCCTGCAGTGCCCCCATGGCTGTATTTAAAATGTGATTTTTTTTTTCTTTCTATAAAATGGAGCCTTAATAAGACACTGATGGTCTGTGGGGTTATTGATGGGCTCGGGGTGGGGCTGGAATCCCAAATATTCAGGGGCTGGGGCTTTCTTCGTCCTCCTGGATGTCCCTGAAAAATTAAATCATCATCCCCACCTCCAAAACCAGAGAAGAAGAGGATTCTGTGGCAGAGAGATGTGAGAATGTCCATTTTTAGGGAGCTCCTCCCCTGCTGGATGCACCCAGAGCCCCTGGGTGCTGTGGGCACTGTCCCTGTCCCCACAGGGCCCCTCTGCACCAGGATTTGGGGGCTTTTGGTGGAGATGGAGCTCTCAGCACTCCCTGCTCTGGGAATGAGCTCCAGGGACACAGCCAAACCCTCAGAAACAAAAACTCCAACTTTTATTTGGATTAAAGCAGCATCTCAGAGAACAAACAGGAGCTGGGGGCTGCACCGAGGGCTTCCCTCCCCACTGTGAGCAGCACAGAGCCAGGCTGGGCTCTCACCAGTGCTTGATGACCCTGTTCCCTTCTGAGTCCTGTGTGAACAGGGGCTCAGAGCCCAGCTCGGGGGGGTGTGGGGCCCTGGGCGGGCTGGGGGTGGCCCTGGGGGTGTCCCTGTCCCTGGAGGGGCTGGGGGAGGTCCTGGAGGGGCTGTCCCTGTCCCTGGAGGGGCTGTCCCTGTCCCTGTCCCTGTCCCTGTGGGCAGTGACCCTGCTCGCCTGGCAGAGGAGCTGCCTGGCCCTGGGGCTGGGGCTGGCCCTGTCCCTGGAGGGGCTGCAGGTGGCCCTGGAGGGGCTGTCCCTGTCCCTGGCCCTGGAGGGGCTGGGGGTGGCCCTGGAGGGGCTGTCCCTGTCCCTGTCCCTGTCCCTGTCCCTCCCCTGGCACAGGAGCTCCATGCAGGGCCCCGCTGGGGCCTGGCCCCGCTCCCGCAGGGGCTGTGCTGGCCCCGGGCTCTGGGGGGAGCAGCAAACCCGGCTGGGAGCAGCCCCTGGGGCCGGGTTTGTGTGCCCTGGCCCAGCTCTGGGGCAGGGCAATGCTGTCCTGCCCCCTGAGGCCGTTCCTGCAGGAGACTCCCAGGGGTTGCTGCTGCCCCAGCCCCAGGAATCCCCCCCAGCCCCAGGGGAGGCTTTGCTGAGCCTCTGAGGCCCCACCTGGGGCTCCAGGGGTGTTTGTCCTGCCCGGGCTCTGCCCTGCAGGCCCTGCCCAGCCCCGGGGGGCTCCTCCTGGGCTCCCTCCAGCCGTGGCAAGGGCAGGATCTTCACCCTGGATTCCTCCCAGGGGGCAGCAGGCCTGAGGTTCTCTTTGTCTCTTTCATCTGCAAACAACAAGGAATTGGTGAAAGCTGAGCCATTCCCAGGGTTAACCACCCCCAGAGCATCCCTGCTGTGCCCTGAGTGTCCCCAGGGACTGTCCCCAGCACTGCCACCACCCCCAGGGATCCCCAGAGCTGCAGAGGCTGCCCTGGCACAGCCCTAGAGCTGCAGCTGCAGCCCAGAGCCACCAAAAACCCCCAGAACTCCCCAGCTCTACCCTGGCCTCACACTGGCATCGAGCCCCATGTTTGCCTCTGAAACCATCCCATAGAAAATCCAAGTTTTGCCTCGGAAACCATTTCATTAAAAAATCCAAGTTTTACCTCGGAAACCATTCCATATAAAATCCAAGTTCCCAGGACCATCCAGCTCCTCCTTCCTGGGAGTTCCAACCTTTGCCCTGTGCCCCACAAAATGCCCAGCATTTTCTGCCCAGGAGAGGAGAGCTGGGTTGGTGAGGGCTGAGTACCTGGCTGGGGGCTGAAGAAGCTGAGGATGGAGCTCTGCCTGGAGCTGATGCTGTGCCTGGGGCTGATGCTGTGCCTGGGGCTGGTGCTCTGCCTGGGGCTGGTGCTTTCCTTGCTGCCAGACTGTGGGAGCAGCACCAGGCTCTGCTTCCTCCCTGCAGCTCGGGTGGGTGCTCTGAGCGTGAGGGGCTGTGGGGAGAAACACGTGAAAAATATTAAATTAAATAGAAAACCAACTCTGCCCCTCTCCCAGCACTGTGGAGCAGCTCACACCTTCATTATGCGGCATCAGAATGCTGGATAAGTCATTATCATTTGACAATAATTATTTATTAATAATTAGCAAAGCATCGGTCATTTGGGGTGGGCAGCTGTTCCACGGCTCTGCCACCCTCATGGCAAGAAGTTCTTCCCCACACTGAGGTGGAACTCGTTGTGTTTTGTTTTATTTTATGGCCATTGCTCCTCGTCCTGTCCCTGAACAGGGCCTGGCACCATCCTCTGACAGCCCTTGGGAATATTTTATGGTTTTTGGGGTCCCCTCCCAGCTTCCCCTCCCCAGGCCCCGAATGAGCCCCGGGGTTCAATGGCAGCGCCTCAGCCCGGCCCGGGGGGCTCCCGGTGCTGGCCCGACCCCCCCCCGGTTCCCCTCAGGGCCTCACCGGCTCCCGGCCCCGCTTCAGCTCCGCCGTGTCCAGCCACACCCCGCAGGCCTCGGCCGGGGCCGCGCCGGCCCCGCGCCGCCGCCTCATCCCGGGGCTGCCGGGGGCTCCCCGGGACCGGGCCTGGGCACGGTTCCGGTTCCGGCTTTTCCCGTTCCCCGGTTCCGGTTTTGCCCGGTCCGTTCCCCAGTTCCGGTTCCGGGTTCTTCCCCTTCCCCGGTTCCGGTTTTTCCCGGTCCGTTCCCGTTCCCCGGTTCCGGTTCCGGTTTTTTCGGGTTCCCGGTTCGCGTTTTCCCGCTCGCGCCGGCCCCGCCCTCAACACGCATTGCGCACGCGCCGCCCGCAGGAACGGACCAATGGGAGACGAGAGGCGGTACCATGTGTGCCCCGCCCCCTAAGACGCACTGCGCACGCGCTGCCCTAGAGAACGGGCCAATGGGAGATGAGGGGCGGTGCCACGCCTGTCCCGCCCCCTAAGCAGCACTGCGCACGCGCCGCCTGCGGTACGGACCAATGGGAGACGAGGGGCGGATCCAGATGTGGGATGAGACCACGCCCATACGGGACCTGCCCTCTATAAGGGATTGTGGCGGCAGGGCGTCTGCAGAGGAGTGGGAGCAGGACCCGAGCGGGGCCAGTGGAGGCAGAACGGCCCCAGCTTTGCCCGGATCCACGGCAGGACATCCACACCCGCCTGTTCCCAGCCTGACCCGGTGCTGGGGCTCCCATCGCACCAACCCCTCCTCTCCCCGCACCTTCAGGGCCAGGGCCGTGCCCATGCTGCTCCCAGCGGGTAAAGGACAGGGCCTGGCACTGCATGGAGAGCTCTGAACAACTCCCTCAGCCCTACAGGAGGGGCCTGACGTGATGTTAAATTAATTTGTCACCTCAGTGGTTTAACCAGCCTCGCCTTGGTCCGTTTCCATGGTTTAGAGTCTGACAGGGACCAGATGGCCTCTCCTTATCTCGTGCTGGGAGCCCTGGCAGCCTCCCAGAGCCTTCCCAGCCCATCAGGGCACACGGACACTTTGTTCCAACTGTTTATTCAGAGCTGAACTGAACCCTGTACCATTCTATGAGCAAGCTGGAACTTAGGCTGGATTTAAAAAGCATTAAAAGCATTTCTCATTCTTATAGAAAGCACTTGCTGAGTAACAGTTCCTGAAGCAGCATCTGGGGGCTTGGGGCTGGGTTTGGGCTGAGCTCATTTTTTGTTTACTCCTCCTTGAGGCCCAGCCTGTTCCTCACCCTGCGGGCCATGTAGGCGGCTGTGAGGACGGAGCAGGTGATGGTGAGCAGGAACAGGGCAGAGAAGTCGTGAGCCAGGCCCTGCTGCAGGGAGGAGTAGATCTCCCTCCTGGACTCGTAGTCCAGCACCACGGCCTCGATCTGCGCCAGCGTGCAGAGCACCAGGAACACGTGGAAGATCTGGTGGCTCTGCCCCACGAAGTGGCACCTCCCGGGGAACCACTTCTCGGGGTAGGGGTGGGAGAAGAAGAAGGCGGCAAGGAGGAAGAAGAGCACCTGGCACTTGTGGTAGAGCAGGGCGGGCTCGGGGCGCGCGGCCGTGCAGATGCGGTGCAGCACGGGGCTGATGTCCAGCAGGTAGGCCAGCCCCGAGGGCAGCTCCTGGCACAGGCGCCCGGGCAGCGGGCAGCGCGGGTGGAAGCGGAACTTGGCGTAGCAGGAGCCGGCGCAGGACAGCCAGGCCAGCGCCGCCGCCAGCGGCAGGAAGAACCCGCGGACCTGGCGGTGCCAGCCCGGCTCGATGGCGTAGTAGAAGTGACCCAGGGCGCTGCCGTACTGGTACACGGCCACCCCCACGTAGTCCATGAAGAAGAAGCTGTAATGCCAGAACTCAGACTTGGCCTGCAGCAGGTGGGCCAGGCTGCTGAAGGTCAGGTAGGTGATGGAGGCGGCCAGGATGATGAGCAGGGGCCGGGCGTGCGCGTCCTGCCCGAAGTCCACACGCTGCCAGAGGCGCTGCAGGCGCAGCAGCAGCACCAGCGCGGCCGCCAGGTGCGACCACACGTTGACGGCCTCGTTGTGCTGCTGGAAGAGCGTGGAGAAGTAATAGCGCCAGGTCTGGCGCACGGGCCGGTAGCCGCCGTGGATGTAGGGCTTCCAGAACACCGGGGGCACCTCGGCGCTGCTCACCGTGCCCAGGGACAGCGGCGCCAGCAGCCCCGGCAGCTGCCTCACGCTGATGAGGAGCTGGCTCAGCTTCTGCGGCACCACCGTGGCCATGCTGGGGCCAAACTCCGCCTCCTTGTTACCTTTGGGAAGGAGAGAAAGTTCTGCTGTGGGGTTTTAATGCAATAATTGTCACAGACATCTTTTATGGAAAATCCTTTCTTTAGGATTTTTCCTCCTGAGAAGCTGAGAGGCCTCAGGAACAAAATGCAAACAATGGTTATCTGCTGCTGTGGAATGCAACAGGTGCATCTGGGATTGGGCTCATGGGGTTGTTTCTAATTAATGGCCAATCACAGTCAGCTGGCTCAGACTCTCTGTCCCAGACACAAGCTTTTGTTATTCATTCTTTCTTTTTCTATTCTTAGCCAGCCTTCTGATGAAATCCTTTCTTCTATTCTTTTAGTACAGTTTTAATGTAATATAGATCATAAAGTAATACATCAGCCTTCTGAAACATGGAGTCAGATCCTCGTGTGTTCCCTCATCCTCAGATCCCTGCGAACACGGTCACAAATAATCAACAAGCAGGGGGTGTTTAAATGCTCTGGTTGGGGTTTTCCTCCATAGAATCCCCAACAACAGTGACAAAAAGGAGGCTGGAGGGAGATTTAAGAACCCCTGAAGTGCCTCTGCTGTGGGGGCAGCCCCAAGGACACGAGGCTGGGGTTAAATGACAATAATGAACACACGAGACACAGCAGTGCCTGCCTCACCCCCCCTCCCTGTGGTTTGGGAACTGCTAAACAAACCAAGCATCCCAAACAAAGCTCCCACTGCAGATTCCCCCTCCTGTAAACTGTTTGCTGTGTCTGTCCTTACAAATACCAACAAGTAACAGAGGCTGCAGCTCCTGTGTTTGGAGTTTTACCTCCTTTTTTTAGCTTCTGATTTTCCAAGCAGCTTCCCACATCGTGGCCCTGTTACACCACTGAGGTCCAGCAGAGTTATCTTTGTGAGCAGGAATTTCCATATTTACCTTTTGGAAGCTGCTGTCCTTACCAGGAGCAAGGCAGCCCTGCCAGTTTCTTCAGCCTTTTCATAAAAACTTATTGAGATTCTTTACCTGCTCTTGCTCAGACAAGTCCTGAAGAAAACCTGGTTCACGTCCAGCTCCAGTGCTGCTCTGTGCCTCACCCCCAGACCAGTGCCCTCATTTCAGGGACAGGAAAAGCTCTTCAAAGTTTGGGAACAGGAGGAGGTGGGGATGGGACTGTTTGTTTTAAAAAACTCTGTAATTTCCTCATCAAAGTTAGGCTGTAACTCATTCCTGCCTGAATCCAAGGGGCACAGATGCAGAAAGAAAAACAAACCAGGCTCTTTGCTGCTCCATTTCCCTCCCAAGTGCCCTTTGCCCACCTGGCCGGGTTAGAGAGGCCCGGCTGGGGCAGGACCTCACCCCGGCCACCCCAGCCCTCCCCAAAAGCCGCCACCTTCTGGGGCTGCCAGGGGAAATTCACCCCCTGAACTTCCTTCCTCCGGCTCGGAACCGCAGCAGCCCCGAGAGGGCAAAAGCAGAACCTGCCCAGTTCGGCGGTTGTGCCCCAAATTCCGCGGGCAGCTGGGAGCAAACGCTGCCCGGAGAACTTGCCTGGGTGCCGGGGCTGCCTCCGGGCGCAGGGCAGGGGGCTCAGCTCTCGCTCAGCTCTCTCAGCTCTCAGATCGACCCCTCCGCAGCTCCCAGAAGGGAAATTCCTGCGGGAAAGGCGGCCCTGGGAGATGCCGTGGCAGGAGCAGCCCGGCCAAGGCAGCGGTGTTTACTGCAGCTCCTCCAAAGCTCGTCGGAGCAGGATTTCATCCGCAGAGCTCTTCCCAGCTACCGAGCCTTGAGCAACGCTCCGTTATGACGGGAGCGCATCCTGGAAATCCTTCGTGTGCCTCGTACTCCAAACAACAGCCTGCGCCTCCGCAGAGCTGGGCTCACGCTGCCTCAGCCGCCTGGCGTTTCCTCCGCAGCGCTTCCTTTGCCCGGCAGCATCCACCCCACCCGCTGGATTTTTCTGCGATGATAAAGACTCGCCCCCGGCTGTTTACATCGCTGTTTGCAGCGGCACAGCCTCCCAAAGCCTCCTAAAGCGCTCACAGCGCTCATTTTCCAACCAAACCACCTCGGGTTTTCTCCGGCTCCGATCAGGCCCCGGTCCACCTGAGCCCCCGCAGACCCTGGGCAGCCCGGGATGGTTCTCCCTCCCCTGGGATGGGGATGAGCCGGGGTTTGGTTCCCGTCCTATCGTGGAGCCCCCTGGGACCCCCGGCCCCGCCCCGGCACCTGCAGAACGGCCCCGTCCGGTCCGAGCGGCCCCGGCCCGGCCCCGCCGCCTCCTCCCGCCCGGGGGTCCCGGGGGTCGCGGCCCCTTGGAGCTGCTCCGAGCCGCTGCTCCTCCCTTTGCAGCCCCGACACGGCTCCGCATCCCTCCCTCCCTCCCTCCGCGGCTGGAATAAGTTGTTGTTGTTGTTGTTGTTGTTATTATTATTATTAATTTTTTAAGGAACCGTTTCCAGCCCAGGTCTCCCCAGAGGGACCCCGAGTTCTGTTTTCCTGCCCTGCTCATTCCCTTCCCTTACCCCCCCTCAGGTCACTGCTGTCCTCTCCCTCCTCCCACCCCCCAAATCCCCCCGGAGCCCTCGGGGACCCCCGAGCGGGCCCTGCAGCCCCGCTGAGCCCAGGCTCGGCAGGCACGGGCAGCAGAAGGAAGAGGAGGGAACAGAAGGCCCCGGGCGAGCTCTGACAGCTCTGGCAAGCCTAAACCTCACATTTAGCATCCATTTGGGCTCCAACACCATTTGGGGTTTGGCAGAGCTGCCATTCTCCTCCCCCACGTTTGGGAGAGAGGAGAAAAAACCCCACATGGCATCGGGGACACTTTCCTCAGCAGGTAACTACATTAAAATGAAGATCTGGGGGGTTTTGATTGCTGATTGTGCCTCATTTTGTACTCGGGAGCTGCTCCAGGGCTCCCTCAGCCTCCATTACGCAGTGCCAGGTGCTCAGCCGCTCTCCTGGCTGCACTCACAAGCTTTGAGACCAAGTTCAGCCCTGTTTTCCTGCCCTCAGCCTGTGGGGCAGACCCTGACCCCATCTCTGGGCAGGTTCTGACCCTATTCCCAGACAGACCCTGGCCCTATTCCTGGGCAGGTTCTGACCCCATCCCTGGGCAAACCCTGGCCCCACAGCGGTGCCCTCAGGTTCCTCCCTCACCGCCGGGCCATGCCGAGGAGCCCCGAGCCCAGCAGGGAGCAGCACCGCCTCTCCTGTCCCTCCAACCCTGCCGCAAATCGCTCAGGGCAGGGCCAGGACCCACGGTGGCACTGCAGGGCTCTGTCCCGCTGCTCCTCTGGGGTAAGAATAACGCGGCAGAGCCCAGGGGCACACGGGCACAGTGGCCCGAGCCAAGGCTCCTTCTCCACCACAGCCCAGAGCAGAGTCCAGAGGGCCAGGACTCCCCGAGTCCCTTAGAAAAACCAATTCTCTACGGATATTCCACCTTCAGGTGCTCTGGGTGTGGAGTTAAACTGAAAACAAACCCGGGAGCCAAGGACAGAGGAAGGATTGAGGCCTCCCAGGAGCTGTGGCAGCCCCAGGGTGTTTTGGGGAGGGTGGTGGTGCCTGCTCACACCCCCATTGCAGCCCAGGTACCTGTGGGTATCCTCAGGGGCAGGGTTTGGGGTACAACACAGCGATTTTGTTCCAAATCCACCTAAAAATCATCTTTGCTCAGAGCCCCTCCTCTTTCTTGCAGGCAGAAGGAACAAACAGAGCGGGCTGGGGGCAGGTGCTGCTCCACCCCAGCACAGAAATTGTTCTTCTGCCCTGGGCCCTTGGGGCAGCCACGCAGGTCCTGCTGGCCCCTGTGCCACACACGTCCCCCCAGAGCCCTGGGCAACAAGGGCCGTTTGTTGGATGGCCCAGCAGCACAAACAGCCCCAGCTGAGGTGTCCCACAAAGCCCCCATTGTCACAGCCCCAGGACAATGCCCTGGCCCTGCACCCAGCCCTGGCTCCTGAGGAAGGCAGGCAGATAACAGCACTGTGCAGCTTTATTGAGTCACTTGTTACAGCAGGATTTTAGCAGACTGGACAGTCAGAGATTTTTGTTTGAAGTGTAACAGATATTCAGCATGGAACAGTTACCAGAGATTCCTTGCACAAAGGTCTTACAGAGCTGATACAGTACTCGCCATCAACCCAGGAGCGAGTGCACTGGCGTAGAAAAGGATGCAACAAGAAGAAAAAGCTACACTGGAAAGACAACACTTTAGAAAAGTGACACATGGAAGGTCTCCCCTCTAGCCCCCAAAGCAAGTGTACAGTTTGGATCTAATTTTACAGTTCTACATCAGTTTCTAAGAAACATAAAAAAAAAGAAATATATATATAACCGAACCAAAACCAAAGATAAAACCACTGGCCAGTACAGTCTTTGGATATTTGGAGGAGGGGGAGAGTCAGTTGCCAGAGCGGAGTCAGTCGGTCTCGGCCTCGCCAGGGTCTTTGCCTTCTTTGTTCTTTCGGACCTCTTCCACATGCTTGTCCTGAAAAACAGCACAGAACTGAAAACAGCAGCACGGGAGCTGGAAAACAGCAGCACGGGGGACAGGGGGCTCGGGGGACAGGGGGCTTGGGGGACAGGGGGCTCGGGGGACAGGGGGCTCCACACCGCTGAGGGACACAGAGGCTGCCCCAGCTCCATCCCTCCTGCACAGAGCTGGAATGCTGCAGATTCCCCACCGGCTGAGGGCAGCCTCCTCCTCAGGAGGATTTTTGGGGGTTTTTTACCTTTTGCCAGCAGGGAGCAGGGGCAGCTCCCCGGGCAGGGCTCCACACCCACCTTCTCCCGCAAGCGCTCCAGCTTGGCAGCCATTTGTGCCTCACGGTTCTCTTTGTTGGCTTCCATTTTGTGGGTCAGCTTCTCCTCTGCCATTTTGCTGAAGTTGTTGTTCTCCTCGATGGCTTTCTGCAGCACCTCCTTCTCGTGCTCCCTCTTCTCAGCCAGCTGCTTCAGCACTTCTGCCTCGTGGGACTGGGGAGGCACGGCCAGCAGTGAGGGAGCCCCAGGGCTCCTGGGCTGCCACCCTCCCTCAGAACCTGCACCTCTCACCACATCTACCTGCAAAGCTCACTTTCTGGCATTGCACACCTTGTTAAATGGGGTTTTTCTGGAGAGGGAACATGGATTTGGGTTTTTTGATGTTAATATTGAAGGAACTTTCCTTGAAGATCCTCCCTTCTCACTGAGATTCAGGTCAGGCTCACTTCAATCAAAGCCTCGCCACCCTCGAGGGCTCCAGGCTGCACCCCCAGCCACATCTTTCATCACCCAGACAATTTATTCCCCAACTTCTCATTACACATTCACTGCTGCATTTTCTGGGAGAAAATTCATCTGTTCTGGTGTTAAAAGACAAGAAAAACAGCTTCTTCCTGAAAGAGCTGCCCCTCTCAGCTACGTTCCCTCCCAGTTTTTCTTCAGAATCTCTTTGGAACCAAAACCATGACCACAGAGCTTCATGAGAGCCCCAGGGATTTCATTAATAAATTCCATTAAAAAAAAACCACTTATCCCAAGAAACAAATGAAAGAGAGCCCCAAACTCTGAGAACTGGTGGAGCAGAGCTCACTTCAGCTGCTCCAGCTTTACCTTGCGTCTCTCCTCAGCTGCTTC